CTCTGTATCGTGGTCTAGATTTGTGGGGAGCCAGATAATGAGCCATACTGGCGCACCACACAAGCAATGAAGAGTGACCATCTGTTTTAAATGATGCAGGTGAACAAACATGACGGCAAAGAACATCTTGGCAGTAAATGGGTATGTCTGTGGGAAAACCATACAGAAGAACCAGAAAGAAAAGAGGAGCCAGAGACAAATTTACCTGGGGTATTAGAAAGAATGCAGGTCCTTTTCCTCATAGAAAAGTCTGCTTATGAAGTGTGGTTTTTTATTATCATATATATAGTTTCATAGTATGGCTACTGGGTGCTGAATAAAACAGTTTCAGAATGCACAGATAAGGCTATCATCTTTAGTATTTGATACCTCAATACAAATAATTATAAGGTTGACATTTCATTTTAAGCCAAGCCCACTTACATCTACAACATAAGTCCTACATTTGCTATCAGTATATCTGTAAAACTGCTATCAAATTGCTAGCAACTTATCTATAAAACTTGCTGTGAAGGACATTCCTGGTTTCTACTGAAAATGTAGTTTGATCACTTTTCTTTGCTGCATACATAGCTTAAAGGGGTGGACTTTAGAACACAATGCAACTTATAAAATACCAACATTTTCCTTCTGGAACACCAGGCATCTAAGGGATTCAACCAAATGTTCCCTAAAGAAGACAAATGTCCAAAAAGTTGCTTAAAAGACAGACCTTCCTTTTTCTGACCAGATTGCCTTTAAATTAAACTGCCAAACTCTTCTGCAAGGTTGTTCTTGGAAAGTAGAAAAAATGACGATAAAGCCTGCTATAAGGCAGATGATTATCAAGACATTTAATGGAATTGAGTGCTGGGCTACAGCAGAGCTACAAAAGAATCCCTTGACCTCAGTGCGTGTTTTTGTTCTAGCACAAAGCAGCAAAGTCTACAATGCACTTTTAATGTTGCTTTGATAGTGTAGAAGCCCCGCCCCCTATCTAGCTATCAAAACCCTTTTAAGTATCTGCAGGCGTTTTCCCTGTATTCTAGAAATGACAGCATCTACAAGGTTCCCATTTAATGTTGGATGAATCAATTCTGAGTAACTGACCTAGACCTCTAATGAAAAATTGACAAAAACTAGACCCAAGTCTTTCTTCAAAGTTTCAAAAATTCTGACTACATTTATCTGCATAATCTTCGCCTGGCTCTGAATTTCACCTGAAATACTTCAAGCAAACAACAAGGTTCAATGCCATATTTAGGTAATTTCTTTCCAAGAAATGTGAATCTTTTTACTGTGGATCCTAACCCCAGCCTGCCTCAAGGAATTAACTCCCCATACAACTTCAGTAGGTAGTATCTTGTGCTTCCAGTGGAGCAGATAGTACCAACAACACCCCAGTATATTCTGGACTGCTACTACCAATTCTTGTGTTATCAAGTATTTGCTCTACAGAATACCCACAATGCTCAAGCGAACTGCAGGTCTATTCAGATTTTTTGTATTTATTTTATTTTTACCAGTGGTGCCATTCTGAGGACAAAACCTCCTTGCAGTGATATCCCTGATGTCAAAGCTCAACAGGCTTCTATTACACAATGAATCTGGCCTTTGAGTTCAGCCAGTGACATATTAAAGAAAATACTTGAAAGCAAAAACTTCCCAGTTCAATAAAATAGTTCATTTAGATGAACTGCCCATGCTTTCATGTACTCCCTGAACTTCAGTGCTTTACACCAGAAGTGCTTGTTTGATTTGTTTACTAATTGCTAAGGATAGAATGACTGCTGGAAATCCACTATGGTGAATAAACATATTTACACACAGAAATATCTGTGACAAATAAAAAAAATCTTTCTTTGTATTGAAACCTGAGTATAAATTCAAGAATAAACTTGAAACCTTCTCAGGCACCTCTCATCAGCCTATTTAGGCTGGTGAATATATGCTGAGATTGTGTTTTCTGTGAAGCTTGAGTATATCATTAGCAAAAAGCATATTCAATGTTGACTTCTCTAGCGAATTTGTAACCCATTTGAGGTGACAAAGAGAAAAGGCAACTGGACCCAGAGAAATGATTATCATGCAGCTTTCAAACACAGGGTTTGGTAAATCACCAAAGTGTTGAAGTCTGAGAAAAAAGCACAATCAGTCTCTCCTCCTTTAGTCTCAGCACAGGTTTATATCAACACTGAAGAATGATATGATTAATTACAACTAACTTTCCTCTTCATTCAGAAATACATTCTTAAAAAGAAAACAAGGTCAGGAACCTTTTAATTTGTGTAGGGACCTACTTTTGCTCCTTCAAGGTGTCTGTATTTTAGCCAGAACAGATGAATATTATAATCAAGGAAACTGTCTTTGGTATCACTGTTACTGTATACCATAGTATTCTCATGTGAAGTTGTCTGTAAGAATGAATTCTTCAGTAATTAGCATTTATTTGCTTGTGCCATGGAATTTTGGCTTTTCCCTTGAAACTGTTTATCAATGAAAACTCTTAACATATTATAATCAATATAATCACATTTTTCCAGGAGTGGCTGCTAATTTGAAACAGTACTTGAAATATGAAACATAAAACTTTCTCACAAATGCTTTTTTCTTCTCAAGATGTCTAATTATTAACTTATCTGTGTAAAGGTGTCGTTTGTAACTGTCTTGTAACTTTTTTGGTCATTGTGACGATGGGGAAATTCAAGACAAGCACTGAACTTCTACTCCCTTGGGGGAAACAGAATTCTTTTTCTTTGTGAAATGAAGGCTTTTTTATGTTTACATGGCAGCAATATTGTCAGGAGCTTGACATATCACCTTTGCATTCAAGAAAATAATTTTATATATAGGAATATTTGGAGACCCTGCTGTACCTGTCTGAGCTGGGGAGTCTCTCATGACATCAAGGGAAAGTCAACCTTTTTATCATGTCCTTCCTCTTAGTAGGACTTTAGCATTTCCCACTTCATCACTCTTTGAAAACCCAACTACTTTATTGCAAAGGGCTTGAGGAAGGAGCTCTGAAGATGACTGGACCTGAATGTGATACTCGTGGATTCTTACATCTCCCGTCTGTGTGAAGCAGGAGCACAGGTAGCATCCTCACCGACAGTGCAGCAAAAGCATCCAGAGTATAACATATTTTTGGTTTAAAAATTTTAAAAATGTTTTAAATATATGTTTAAGTACAATATAGCACAATATAAATGACTGCTTCATATAGAAATGATAATGTGTTCCTGAGATACAGGAACTACTAGATATACAGGACATATGAGAAGGGAATTTTTCTATTACTGTGCATTCTTGTACTCTTTCAATTTAGCAAATCCAAAGAGTCAGCAAAATGCTTAAATTTGTTTAGATCAACAACTGACAATAAATTAAAAACCTAGCAACTGGCATTTTACACGTTTTTTGTTTAACACACCCAGGAGTATCTCATTATTACAAAGTGATGAACCAGCATTGTCTTACATGATACCAACCTTGAAGACTGTTCAGTTATATGTACCTTGTTTATTAGCTAACTGGGCTGAACTGATGTCAATTTAGGTATTTTACAGTGACAACTACAGCAACACATGTTTTTTCTATTATGTAGAGGACATCTTCCCTGCTTAATCATAGCCTTTCTACATCTTCTGTACATTCAGCTTTATTTTTTTAACAGCTTAGATCAAAACCAGTAGAATAAACTAATTAAAGTACAGCTACAAAACCATAGTGAACTTCTTTTCTTAAAACAACTGTTCATGATGGTGAAGAATGCAGTAAGAAATGAATTTAAAACCCACTGAAATTTTCAAGATTTCAAAGATGTTCCTGTTCTGGAAGAAGCCCCAACACTGTGAAACTATTCCATGAAAACAGACCAAAAGCCTCCATTAGGACATGAACTATCCTTTTTGATCAGATTAAGGACCTGGCTCACTATCATGTGCTTGATGGCAGCGAGGCATAGCATTTACAGAGCCATCCTTCCTGTATTGTTCCCTTCTGCTTCTGACAACCAGAAGCTTAGGAGTTGATAACAAAGCAAGCCAAATTTGGCGCTCTCACATCTCAGGTAATTCTCCATACCAACAAATTCTTTATAATCTTCACAAGTTCTTCCTTGTGTATGGTCTTGACTAAAAATTGCAGGTTGATGTGCGAAATGTTCCAAATGCACGTTTCTTAAAGCTGCACAGAGTTTCAGTCTTGAAAAAAATCAGTATCTTTCTATGAAAACCTTTGTATTGGAAAAATGCCAGAACCTCTATCAAGGAATTTGGTAAAAGAATCTGGATGAGACCTAGGAAAGCTTGCTATCCACGAAGAGCAATGTAGACATACAGCAGCAAAAATACCAATGTAAGATAAAACACAGCCAGATGAAAGTGGAATAAAACACAGAACGATACTGATTTAGGAGTATTCAGGAAGTGCACTTAGATCCATGCTTCTAATTTCCCAGGCTTGGGCTGGTCCGGCTGAAATAAGTAACGACTGGTACATTCTGCATTAGGACTCACTGTGCTGATGTTAACAAATTTGCTTAGACTTCAGATTTTTACTGTGCCAATGCTACCTATTGCACATAATGTCTCCCATCAAAGTTTCCTGACATTAACAACCAGATCCTCAGAGCAACTCCTTGAGTTATTCTAGATAGTTTGACAAGGCAGAATAGGGATAGCTGGCATCCTGTGTTGAGCTTTTAAGAGATGGCATTGTCTACAGAAAATAAGATGCTTTTGCAATTGGTGTAATTTAGATGATGGAGAGGTCTTTGTACAAGCTATAGGAATTTCCCAAGGGCAGCACTGCCTGGCATCTCTGTAGCACTACCTACTGTGGACTTATATAGACCTGGGCCACAGACCTAACTGTCACTTTATCCATGTCATCAGCCCTGAAAAAGGTGAAGTAAAAGGTCTTTTCTTTGCCAAAAAGGACTTTGGTGCACAGGAAGGCTGGACTCACAGTGATGACCTGTCTCAGCTAACTGAGGGCCTCACGAACCCAAGGCACAACTAAAGTCTGACTTTGGGGAATGCCAGCCGATCTGCTCCATAACCACTATGTCCTGTCAGAGACTCAGATTCGGTGCCTGCGGGAGGAGCAAAATATTAACACCCTCAAAAGCTACCTGCATGACATATTACAGGACCCAATGACAAAGTAATATATCGAAATATATAGCAATTAGATCTCAGTCACAACCACCAATTACACTGATGAACACCAAGGAAGCACTGGAGGCTTTTCAGAAAAAAGCTCTGCAAATAGCTGGTTTTTCTTTTTCAGCATCTGCATTAGAAAATTAAACCCCACTATTTTACATCAATTCAAAGTGGAAGTTTTGAGAATTCTGGGGTGGAGGCAAAGTAATTATTTCAATCTGAGGAAAAAGAATTCTGAACAGTCTTAAGTGACTTATTCTCTTTTGGGCAATTTCTAGTAACAGAAAGCAAGTCCTTTATTCACAGAGTGAGGAGCATGTATTTCTCTTTTCAGAGCTAGTGCCTACCCACTCACAGAATCCCCCTGCATTGTTCAAAGTTCTTGTTATTTAGTTGCTGTAATGGAGCCAGGTTATGGCTGGGTTCTTAGAGAGGGAAGAATTTAGGGATCTTTTCTGCAAGTAAGACAGCCAGAGTTTATTTGGCTGAATTTGGGACTGAAAAGGCTGTACAAGTCAATAAAGCACACAAACATTTTCCTACTACCTGAAAGAGAAAATGTGTTTCAACATGATACCTCTGTTCAGTCCCACTTGCTGGATTGACAGTATTAGTGAAATGAAAGAGCTTCTGGCTAGCAAAATGGCTTACAGTGTCCTGAAAACACTGAATTAATTTTAACTATTGGTGCAGTCTCTGCATGCAAAGGGAACTTGCTAAAGGAGACTCTTTTTCGTTCAGAGTCAGTTCCTTATATTGGTGACATACTGCTCTAATACAGATCCCAAACAGACTTCTGTTTTGTCCTCCATTGCCTATTAGATATTTTAACATGTACAGAGGTTAAAAATTAGTACATGCCAATCAAGAAGCAGGGTGGATGGTGGTACCCTCCTGAAAAGCATAGAGCAAAGGCAACCTTATTTGCAGCAACAGCTTTAAGGTCTTCTGAACAGACACCTGGTTTGCTACTCCTTCTGGTTTAGTTTATCACAGTAATTATTCTGCTATTAAGAATTTTATTGTGAATTTTACTGATTCAAGGCCAGATGACAACAGTTACAGTATATCAGCATTATTCCCACTGAAACTATCATGCACAACAACCTTCAAGTTAAGCCACCATAGGTAACCCACTAGTTTTGGAAGCTGAAATGAGCTTTCATAGCCATATTCCAAAGCCCTTCTGTCAAGCATTGCATTGATCAAAATTGGTAATGGTAAGTACTCATCTTTTATATAGTTAGTGAAATCTGGCTATCCAGGAATGAATGGTAAAGCTGACATTTGGTGGGCAAATAAACAAAGTAATGAGAATTAAACGCGTTTTTTTCCAAGAACTGAGACAGCAATAAAATCCAGTGTAAAATATAATTTTGTACCTATCACATGACTCTGACATGTAGTCCTTGTCATGGTGTCCTCTTCTTCTTGCAGGTTTTCTGTGACTACTTTAGCCTGTACATAGTACAACAACAAAAGTGAAGAACATCTGTGACTCCATTTATGTTGCTTCATGATAACTACAGAATATCTTTTCAGAAATAAACCAGAGTAAAGTTACAGGGCAGCTAAGAATGGAAATATATAGCCTGTCTCATTCTATGAATGATACCTGAGGATAACAACTTTTAATTTCATTCAAAGTCACAATATGCAGCAGTCGAAAAATACCCTTGGAAGATGCAATTCCTCAAAAGGAAAAGTCTTTTTCTTCATTAAAAAAAACCCAACAATTATGCTCAGCTCACCTGACCTCTTATTTGTTTCTCTCTAGAAATACCATGTTTCAAATTCTGTGCTAAAAAAAATGTGAACTTAATACATGATGTAGTATCTTTCTAGTTCAGTTTGCAAACACTGAACTTTGGCGTTTTTGTTTCCACCTTTGTTTAAAAGCATTTATTAGCTAAACAGAGAGAAAAACTTTATACACTAAGAGCCTGTATGTGTTATTCAAGTATGTGTTATTCAAATCCTCTAGATATTCTGTTTTTCAGATGAAGGCATACTTTTGCTCTGTTCTGCACTCCTGTTTTCCAAGCGTATACATAATCTGAGTATCTTCCTACAGTACAGTGAAAACCCCCTCCATTATATGCCATCAGTGGCCATCAGTGGCCATAATTCAGATCCAGGGACATATTTTTCTGCCATGCTATATAAATCAAACAGGAATGAAGATACTTTTAGGGTGATGAGAGGAAGAAAGCCAGCACTGCAGAAAAAAATTACTTTCAATATCTCAGAGATCTTAAATTATTTGTTAATCACTCTCTGCTGTTTTAAACTACTTATAGCACATTCACAATAACTTCAAATATGTTCTGTAATCTAAACCAGTAGAATTTATCATCATTTGCATGACATATCTTTGATCATAGTATACATTCTGCTTGTCTGGCTTAGACAAGTAGCCCTATTGACCTCTTGTGACTAGCCTCAGTAAGACATGAAGAATTGCTCTCTATATTTATAAAAGTGTATTTATAATCTCTTAATCCCAGAGATCTGATTATATCTTTTTTCTTCTGAAATGACACTCTTCAGGTTATGGAAAATGAAGCGGAAAGTATGTGATCATTTGGCATTGAATTACAGGTAGAACAATTTCTCACATTTGCAGACTGCATGGCAGTCTGCGGCTTGCTGCTGATGTGACATTTCACAATATTAGGATAGATCTCTGGGTATTCCCCAAACACACGGACTGCAGACAGACAGTGCTATACAAAACTCCTGGTGTCTTGATTTTGGTGCCACACTTCCACCTCACAAAGTAAAGCCCGTGGCTTTTCTAAATTACGCTGGGCTGTAATAAAATCACAAAGATGAAATGAAGCAGTGCAGCACAAAAATGATTGTATCTCACCTTAAGCTCCAGCCAAGGACATGAAAAAGTATTGGAGAATGTGGAATATCCTTGGTGTGGGCTAAAGGATTATGAATTTCTGTTGGCTGGCCTTTAGAGCAAAGTGCTTTTTTGATGAACACTAACGGGAAGCGTATCCCTCTGAAGGTGAATGCACAAGGCCTCCATTGGTGGAACATTGCTTTTTCCATAAATTCAGTGGCAGTCAAGCAATTCTGTTCTTTGCATGAACAGAAATCAGAGGTAATTGGTGCATATGTTATGTCATAATAGTGCCCCAAGTCTTTACCTGGCACATCATAAGAGAAGAGATTCAATAATCAAAAATGAAATAGGCTTTAAAGGAAAAACTTGCTAAAAAAATAATGTTAAAAAATGTTATGGCCAGGATTTAAAGAAGCAATATATATATGATATGCAGTTTTGAAATACAGCAGCTTCAGCACTGCACCCATATGACTGAATGCACTTTGCATTGTTCAAAAAAGAAAAGAAATCTTCTTAGTTTAGGGTTTTTCAAAACATTTATGCTGTTTTCTCCAAAGCATGCATTTTGTCTTTTTACAAGCGAAAAAATGCACAACAGGCCATTCTACTGCATGCGACTGTTTTCAGTCACAGCTATCTCCCAGTCCTTTGCAATCTGCTTCACAGTAAGCAGACACCAAAGAATAACTGGAAATGATAGTAGTAAGATGCATGAACTTTGAATTTAAAGAATTCCCATTGTTTTTCTTGTAGAAGTTTGGAGGACAAGATGAAATATTGCATACTGTGGAATGTTAAGGTGTATCTCTTTCATAAATTAGCGTTAAGAACCGTAAACACATTTTTAATCTCGTTATTCTAGATGTCCTCAGTCTTTTGGCACTAGATATTTCTTTCAGGAATTAAGTGCCACAAAAAACAGAACATGAAACTCAAAAAGATGAAGCATATAATGTAACTTAATCTTCAAAAACAATACAAAAAATACTTTGATTCACAGCAAACAAGAGTGTATGGTGTAGGACAGGTAATGCCTTTTCTCCATGGCTAACATGTCCTTAAAAACTAAATAGTATAATTAGCATTTCTGCATTATTCATGTATATTAAGGACAATCTTTGTAGTTCCCTGATAAAATAAAGGGTGTTTCTTGAAGACATACTTAAAGTCCTGAAAGACTATTATGGCTGCATTTAGAAAGACTTCACAAAATGACACACAAAAAGCACAACAAATTATTGCAGCATTAGAAAATAATAAGTTAGAAAGAAATGGCAGAAGCAATGTGTAGAGGTTTTTGTACTTCTGTACAGCGAAGATATACCCTAAGCTGTCAGGACCATATTAAATGGGGCATAGTTAAACTGAGTGGCTCTGATAAGGGGCTCTGCTTTGCTATCAAAGTTCTAGATCAGTTGGATTGAATTTCCTGCATATTGCACATTTCCAGACTTTCATTCTCTCTCTTTCCTTTCAGTGACACTACAAGGACAGCCTTAGATATGCTTATAATTTGTGGTTTTATAATGCAGGAGACATCTACATTTTCAAAGAAGAGATGACACCACAGGAGTCAGGAGTAAAAAGTTTTCAGACACATTCATTCTGCATATGTTCCCTGTAAGATTTAAAAAATGACCTTGCAGATGTTCTTAGGAAAGAAACCTGAATTAAAGTGAAAAAACATTTGCCTGAACCACGTGTGGGATACTTTAACTTCAAGCATCCTAAACATCAGTAGTAAGATGAGTTTTGCCAGTTCCCATTATGAAGCATTTTGAAATTTGTTTTACCCTTGAAACACATCCCAAAGAATCTGTACTTCAAATTCTCTCAGATGAAATAGTTGCATGTACTGTACTTCAATAAGTCACTTCTATCAGAACAACAAATTAAGATCCTCAACTTCATGTTCAGTATTATATTTGGCATAAATTTTCAGATTATTTTGTGCAAACTGTGATTATTGTTATAATCATCATCATTAATATGGTCAAGACAGGTATCAGGAATGAGAAAAGAATGCTCATTGAGTTAAGGCATCTCTGTTCTCCTGGTGCTTGGACTTTAAAACATCATGGGAAAGGCCCTTGCTAGGCAAGAAATTGCTCACTAAATGCTAAGGTTAATTATTAGAGGCTTCACAAGGAAGGACACCCATTCAGTCTGACTTTAGGCTACAATCCTAGACTCTGTGTGTACACTTCTCGATGCAGAAAAGTTAGCCACTCACATAACCTTTCAAGAACCAGCATCTAGCAGCTAAGAGAAAAGAAAATGATTTTTCTTCTAAATTGCAACATGCCTACCCTCTGAGTAAATGAAAGTATTAGGTATAGTTAATACCTTATTGAAGCATAAAACTAATTGCAGGGCATTAACAGGGAGATTTTCCATGGTACGAAGAGAGAAGTGGGTCAAATGTATGTTTTTGCTTTTAAAAGACTCTCTTAAGTGACAAATATTCCCAAACGTGGTCAAATATGTTGCCTTTTCCCCATCAGCAGTGCACATTTTGTGCTTAATAATTTCTATAATGTTCAGAGGAATGTTCAACACTGGCATGCAATTTTCAGGGAAAGGGGAAAAAATGAAAAAAAAGGAAACGGTCCTATTATTTCACTCTACTACAGTATGATTATAGCATCGCTGTGCATATATCTCCACTGAAATTGAATTGCCAGCAGAAGCAGTAGGATCTTCATAACTAGCTGTATAATCTGGCCTATAGTCAAGCTGCCAACTTTTGTATTAATTCACAATTCTCTAGCTACACAAAATCTTTCTATCATATATAAACAGTTATTATCCTGTTTGTCTGGACTAGCAATAAGGAACACAACCAGAAGTTAAAAAGAAGGTAATAATGTTTTCACGTACTAAAGCACTTACCAGGGTCTGATTCTGCATTTCCATATCAGCTTTTGTGTTGCTGTTTTTCTTGTGGTTTCCTTGAGAGCTGATAGAGTTGCCGTGAAGAGAGGAGCCCTGGGAGCTGCCCTTCGACACACTCCTGTAGGAAACATTATTTGATCCACTTTCTGTCTGCTGAGCTGCTTTCTTATCAACTCTGCAGGTAGAGAGTGATTCCTCTGATAAATTACATTGCCCTTCTTCAATCACTCTACTTTTCCATTCCTTTAATGTTTAAAGTAACCTCTCTGTATCTTTCTGTCTCTAGACCTTTGAGTGATAAATGTTTCTAACTAGCCTTGATCAAATCTGTCACTTGCAATTTCAGGTAGTATATCAATTTAGTCTTTCACATATAATGATTTATATTATATTTGGGACTGCTGTGGGGCAAACGTGAAAACACAGTATAGCAACTGCTAAGTTCTTCTGTGACCGAAGGTTGCGGTAGCCAGAAATGCAATTAATTCTCACTAGTTACCAAATATATGTTTGCTTGTTACAATACATGAAGATGGAATACATTAAAACATGTACCTCATTATCCTCTATCTTTACACACCATCTGCCTAGATTCTTGATTTCTGGAATCATTTGAATTTCTATCAACTTGGATGTAACTTGCCATTCTTTAATTTCAAAGGCCATTGGTTTGGTTAACAAAGTAACATGAAATAAAATTATCATCTCATTATTAATGTTTTTTTCCTGTAGAGATTAAAGTTCTGATAGCGTACTGACTGATTGCTACTATGCATTCCTAGTCTAAAAGGAACATACATTGAACTTAGCATCTGAGCATCTGTAAAGGTACAGAGTACAACATCACATCCCAAATTGTGTTCCAGAGTTTTACCTGTTCAAAAGCTCTTTCATAAAGCTGTCTTTTGGTGAGTATGTAGCTGTGGTGGAACCTTTGACTTGTTCACACTCAATCTCACCAGGTGTGTCTTGTGAAGGTTTCATAATTTTGCTCTCCATGATGTCAGCTAAAATGTCACCATTGTCTGTTTTCCTGTTAATTTCATTTTCTATTTCACAGTGTTGTTCAGTTTTCTTTTTTTCTTTTCTTCTCTCTAATTTTGCCTGCTTAATTCCAAATCCTGCAACTTTTGCATCTTTTTTTTCTACCTTTGTTTTAGGAACATCAGTTTTCCTGCTACTCAGTGCTGGGAGCTTACTCTTTCGAAAGCCAAACCAACTAGCTATAGAGGGCCCAGTCTTTTGTTTAGTCTCCACAGTGGGAGATTTGGGTTGTCCCTGACCCTTCTGCACATTTTCTTGGATGCACAACATGACTTTCTCCTCTATTGTAGGTTGTAGAGTCGGTGAACTCAAAACATTGGTAACCTTCTCAGAGGCTTCTGCTAACTTTAAAGACATCTGCGGTCTTCGTGACTTTGTTGCTTCCAGTTTATGAGAACACTTTATTCCATCTGAGCTTTGAAATGATGAAATTTGTTTGGAAGATACAGTAGCTGACGCTTCTAACTCAAATTCTGCTGGCAGAACACTTATTTTACTTAGAGCTTCGTGTTTAAAACTTTCGGTGCTTTTCTCACTCTGGAGAGATGGACTGCGTGCATCTTTCTGAGAAAATGGTTTGTTTCCATCACATTTTGAAGCGTCGTGAAGCAAGTCTACTTTTGGAGATGTTCTGAAGGGCAGTTTGCTTGGGCTTCCATGCTGGCTATTGCAACTACCCATATTTCCACGAGAACCTTGTCTAGAATAAGAATTTTCTGTAGTTTTAGGAGTATATGATAGAGTCTCTGGTGTCACTGCTGACCCAGGAACGGTCTTGATTTGAAGTCCTTCCATGGCTGAGTTCTGCCTTGTTAGAGAATTTCCTCTATCAGAAGTGTTTGTAATAATCTGAGTCCGCACTTTTCCGAGACCTTCTGTCACGGGGGCAGATGGCTTTTCCCCTGTATGAATGCTAAAACTCTGGCTTCGAGCTTTCGCTCCATTCATGCCCAGAGCTGGCTTCAAATGTGACTTGTTGCTAGAAGAAACAGATCTCTTAACTAATTTGTTTTCTAATCCATCTACCCTGTCTACCACCAAGTTGCAGTTTTCATGTGAATGAGGTGGTGCTGTATCCACACTAAGTCCCACAGTAAAATTATTTTTCACTTCAGTATCAGACTTAGAGTCTTTTAATTCAGCATCTGTTGCACCTCTGGTGGTTACACATATAGATTCATTTTGCTTGTACTTACTTGAACTCACATTACTTTTGGAAGCTGCATTTATACTGTCTTTTTCCTGCTTCCCTGGTACAGTAGAGCTCTTTCGGAGAAGCTGGGGAGATCTGACAAATAATTTCAGTCCTACAGGGAGACGGGTTTTCATTCCTTTCTCACTAGAGTTTTGGGTAGCATGTGCAGTGTCACTACCATGAAACAGTGTTGACAATGCGGAGTTGTTTACCTGAGATAGTAAAGGCTCACTTGTGCTTGTTGTATGACATTGAGGAGTTGCAGGGAGAATGTTTGGCATCTTTTGTGGCTGATCTACTCCACTGTCACTGGAAATATCTTTTTTGCTGGAATATGTATCTTGTGAAGAAGTTGTTTCCAATGATGGACAACCTAGAGAAAAGGATCTGGCTGTCTGAAAATCTGTTTTGGAAAACTCACGATTCCTGTGGAGACCCAGCTGGTTAGGGTTTTTTGGGCAGACTTGCTTTGTGGAAACTTTGGAAAGTCCTTGGTGTGCACTCTGGGGTTGCTGAGATATGCATTTATTTTGCATAATTGCTTCTGCATTTTCTTGAAGGTAAGGTAATTCAATTTTGGCCCCAGAAGATACATTTTTTGCTTGCATTTCATGACTAGATTGATTATGAAAGCCAGAGTTCACAGTTCCTTTTAATGGTGATGATTTCAGTATATTTTTTGCTGTTCCACTGGGACCAGCTCCTCCTAACTTTATTGCTACAGGTGGTGAATGAGCATAATTAGGCCGAATCAACAGGGATGTTGACCTGCCTGGAGGAAGGGGTGGGGACGGTGATCGGGCTTCGACAGTTGCTAAATCACAACGAAAGTCTCTGGTTGGAGGTTCTCCATAGTCAGTGGGCTCTATAAGGTGCTGAGGCAACAGTGGTGATGCTGGACTCTGACTCTTTGGATACTTTGACCCATCACCTCTGCCTGGACGTTTCAAACCAGGCAGGGCGTGGGCAGGGGGCTTTGGAACCTGAAAGTCAACTTTTGAGTCAAAATTACGAGGTGGGCTTTGTGCCTTTTTGAATTTTGAAAGCTTTACAGGTGGCAAAGCAGGTGATTTTTCAAGGGTTGCAGCGCCCACCGATTGAGCTACAGGTGTCTCCTCGCTCTCTGTCATTGCAGTTTTTTGTGGAGAAAATTTACTTCTGCTGGGTATTTTAGTCAGGTTTGGCTTTTGACTGATTCCTGCATGCACAGTGGAGCTTGAATTGGCCTTGTGTGGTACATCATACACCGGCTTCACTAGTTTTTGTCGTGGAGTATTTTGCAGTGTCACTCTTCCACAGTGCGAAGATTCACTGCAGGTTATGGGAACAACTGTATTTTTATTCCCTGCATTATCTTCAAGAGTCTTTTTCTTTGTTTCATCTTCAGGTCTTTCTAAAGCAGTGTAGTTTCTAGCATTGGTTCCTGTCTGCAAATCAGCTTTTCCCTGAGGTATAAGTTCAGTATATTCTGCACTGGACATAGTTTGTGGCTGGTTGATTGAAATTTCATTTCTTGTTACAGTGACAACTCCAGTTTGATGTGAGCTGAATTCAATAGGCTCACCATCCTCAGCATCGAATATTACCGTGATGCACTCTTCAGAAGAGGTCTTTTTTATAACCTTTTGTTGTTTAATGAAATTACATGTCTTTGGCCTAATGTCTGAGTGAGCAGATATCTGTTTTTCCTCTTTGTCAGTAGATACAAACTGAGAATTCTCCGTGACTTTGAGTATGTCAGAGGTCTTCGTGTACTTCTCAGTGAAAGGAGTTGCTAATAAATCTGATGGACTTTTCTCATCACTGCTTTCTATATGCAATTCATCCAAGACTTCATTGTCATCAGTATCTGAAAGCTGAAAATTAAGGTCCTTCCAGCCTATATTAGCATGGCTTTGATTTAACTGTAACTCAGGCAGCTTTGCTCTGGTGCATGATTTTACTTCTGCCTGAAATCCACTGACAAAACTAGTCAATTTTTCAGGTCTTTCCTTTGAATTAAAATATGAACTTCTTTCTGGCAAATGTTTCCTATGAGGATCCCAGTCAAAGAAACTGTCAGAAATGCTGTGAGTTAATTTGTTACAATAGGTCCTGCAGTCTTTGCTTGGTACTTCCTGCAGCAACAGTAAGGATGAAGAGTCGTCCTCTGCATCATCATGTGAATCTGAATCGTAAGAGAAAGTTTTGTTATGTTCAATGCAAATACTTCCTATTTCCGTTGGCTTACAATGAGTCTGTTCATTATGGCTGCCACATTTAACTCCAGGGGAATATATTCCTTCATTAGAGTTCATGCAGTCTTTGTAACCCCATTTTGATATTACTGAAGGTGATTCAAGTAGTATTTTTTGCTTCTGTAATTTCTTCAGCCCTTCTAAGATACGGTTTTCCTTGATACAAGTTGGAGGTAGATCATCTGCAGGACTTGAGAGGTTGCTTGGAAGTGAAGAACCAATGCTTATTCTTTTATCCCAGCTCATGGATGACTGTTAAAACAAAATAAAACTCACATATTACTCACAAGTGCTGCTAATAAAAAGTGTTCCCATTTTAGTAAAGAGACTTAGTTGTTGCACAGGGCATTAGATTTCATCCATTGCTATTAATAGCTATGTTCTTTTTTAAAGAAGGATTTCATAGTGGTGTGAAGGCTGCAGTACATTTAAAACCTGTAGGAAGAACAATATGAATGGAAGGATTAAGATAAAGAAGAACAATTTGGAGTGTGAAAGACAGGAAAAAAGTCAAAACAAATGAGGAAGCTGTGAACAATCTGGAGTGATAAAGGAATTGTTTAAAAAATATTAAAAGAGGGAGAGTGAGAGGGAGGGAGACATTGAAGAGAGAAGTCTTACTGAGTTTAGTAACAACTGTTTTAAATATAAAAGAGAGAAAAAAGTGAAAAAAGTTTCTGACATAGGCAGCTTTTCAATTAATCTTGTTTCAGATTAACTTAAGCTAATGAACGAAGAAAATTAATTTGATTTACCCTTTTGCTGCATGTCTTTCCATCATTCCAAGTGTAGGAGGAACCACTGGAATATTCACTGCAAGCACTTGAGAGGGAGAGTTCACTGCTACTGCAGCTGCTCCGGGGATACAGGCGGCTAGGACCTGTCATATTTAATTGACTCTGGCATTTCAAGACAGGTATACTGGATTTCACATTCTGCTGGCATTCCTAAAATATGAGAAGAAATAGAAATATCTTATAGGTGGAAAAAGAGCATTTAACTTCCCCTTGATTAAGAACGACAAAGATAAAGCAAGTAAGTACTTGCACCTTCCTGTTACGCCCTTAGTATCTGGTAAATTTAATACAGAGAACTAAATTAAAAATTGCTAACATTTTCATTTGTCAGGGGAAAAAGCCACAATCCTCCATGTTTTCCTCTTTATTCTCGAACCCATATTCTGCTCCTCTGTTGCTAAAGATTATTCTGAATCTATTCGAATTATGCTTTGTACGTAAGCAGCGTGCTCCAGTAAGATACAGAAACCGAAGTTATAAGAATACAAGTACATCTTGACAACTGCATTATAGCCCTACAATGTAACAGATGAGGCTGTACACCCTGGACAAGGTAAATTAATTTAGTATCCCAACCAGAATGTCCACTGAGAATGGAATCTCTCCATTACAGTCTAATTTTGGTTTCCTATCTAGTTCAAAGCTTTGTCTAAGAAACTCTCTGACGTAGGACAATCCATCTTTGTGTCGCTCGCAGACAGCTGAAGCCTCTTGCTTATGCAATTTATTGACACTTTATGGCTGCCTTTAGTACTTGTGTAGTTATCGCCCCTCTCCAAATGCAATTTCAGCTGACTGTGACTAAGTGCCAGCTTTGAGGAAGAGAGTAATGAAGAGCAGATAGCACTTTAGGTAAAATATTAAACCTCTGTAGGAGTATCTAGGATGCCTTTAATTCGTTTTCAAACTAATACTCTTGTGCCTAACAGTGTTAGAGCTTCTTTAATGTTAAGTGCCTGCACCGTTCTGTTATGCTGTTCTACAGTTTCCTTACAGAATCAGGCATCTTTTTAATTACCAGGTACACCAGACAGAGTGACATGACTGTTTCATAAAACTTTCTTTGGATTTCATTGAGAAAACCTCAAAGAATATTTATTGATTTTTGTACGTAGATATACCTCAACTTAATTTTGCTTAGATGAAAATTTTACCTTTATATTCAGGAAGACACAGGAAATCTGAATCCACAAAACAATTATCAAAACTGCGTATGCAATAGATGCAGCTACTTCATGCAAATCTCTGGAAAAATGCTCAGTTTGTAGGCACTTCTTATACACTAACATGTTTGTTGGCCTTCTGCTAATTTCTTCCATTTATTCCCCCATGTCCTCCCATTTATTACTACTAGGGTTGGACCTTTTTTCAGTTAAATGGGAGAGAGTGGAATTTTTACTGCTGAGGAGTTCATCAGTACAGCTGTTCACTGCTCAGTTGACATAATAATGTTCTGTTTTTGACAAACGTAACTACAGGGCAAATCATTTTTCTCTGTCACAGGCAAAACCTATGAATGGGAAAATCATTTAGAGGTAGCAGGAGCACATTTCACCTCTGGGAGTTATTGGTACATGTTCTCCCAGGAAGTCAAATGGATGCAGGAGGAATGGCCTTTAAATCCACTGGCTCTGGGAAGAACACATCTTTCAGCATCAGAGGCAGGCTGATGCCTGTGTTTTTGGCTTTGAAACAGAACTTTCTCGCTTTGTTGAGACAAATTACCCTTTATTTCTGACATCGTGGTTCCCATGGGAGACCCTCTCTCATCAGCGTCCTCAGCTATGACGGCGTCATTCCCTGTAACATTGGCTGTAGAGAGGCCAATGGCAGCATCTGCTTGTTCTGGCTATTTCACTGCCTTTCAGCTGTGGCACTGGGAAAACATGTCATGTCAAATTTCTGCCCTTTACACTAGGCTATATCCCTGTTATCACAGTGTTTAAGGGAAGGATGCCTGTAAAATCCTTTCCTATAAGAATCTCCTATAGGAGAAAAGAGGAGATCACAGCATACTGACAAGTACTGCCTTCCCCTCCTGTCACCTTCAGCTAGTCTGAGAGCCTCTCCATCCCCTCACTTTGTTGCCTTTAGACCTAAAGAGAGGAGAAAGGCATTTCATCCTACAGTTTTATGGGAAAAATGGAGATATCTAAACAAAGCAAAAGAACAGTATGTTACTGTAATCATCTTTATTGTTTAAGAGATGAGAAAATGTGCAAAAAATATCACGCCATTACAGATTCTGAAGTAGGACATCTACCCAATTTCTAGATTGCATTCAGATTACTAAAGAGAGAGAGAGTGGAATTTTGTCCTGCAATTTATCTTTATTCTCTAAATTATCCGACTACGTACTTTGATTAGTATGTTTATGATGCATTAATTAAATACATTTAACTTGCATATAGGTCTATTAACTGCCATGGTGATATTTTAATTTTTTGTGATCATGACTCTTAAGTCATTACCTTTAACAAAATTAGATTAAAAAGGCCTGAATGTAGTATTACAGTTTAAATACATAATTTTCACTAGAAATCACAGAAAATTGAAAGAATCAGACTATTAAAGACACAAAACTCTGTGTTAGAAAAACCTCACCTAAAGGCTTAACTACATATAATGCAAAGGGTCATTAGCATTTTTGTGAACCTTTGAAACAATGCCTTTTCATTAAAGTATGTATTACAAAGGAGATTACATTTTTGTTGACACTACTATACTTCAAGATCAAAGGCACACACAGGTTCAATGTTCTGTTCTTGTCCTCTTTGTTTCCCTCTATCTTTATGTGACTTTTGTTTTTTAAGCTACTTTTCTCTTTGACAATGAAACATGAAAGCCACACTGGCTAACGTTTTGCCAAATAAGCACAAAGCTAACCCCATCTGAAAAAAAAAATGCAGAGCCCATGAATTTTTAAAAGTTCATACATAATATATCATAAAAGTAGGATGAATAATACGGTGTATGGGCTGTAATAAAAAGCTTCTTGACCATTTCTCAGAGATTCTGAGATGTAATCAATACCCAAAAAGGTGTACTGGGGACACTGCTAAGATTTACGCTTTTTTGCACAGAGTGACACTATCTGCTTACTATATCAACTGGGACACAATATTGAATTTCAGAGAACAGAAGGAAGAAGAAGTATTGTTATCTGCCTCCACAGTGTTTCAATTCAGAGATCAGCTTTATGGCTCATCCCTGACATCAAACTTCAGAGGCGAAAAGGAGGGTTCCAAATGAGGGGTACAAGGACAGTACAAAACTCACGTGAATCTGAGCATCAGCAGTTCGAGATTGCATCAAGCTTCTGTTTCGTTCTACTTCTGAAAGCAAATCCCCAGATGAGAGGTCTAAGATGCGTGAATGGAGTTTCTGGGGGGGCAGAAGGGAATGAGCAAAACATAAGCATTTGTCAAATATGCAGCAGATCAGCATTTTTAAAATTCCAAACTCTGCTGTTACATTTCAAGGGAAATGAAGACCCCGAGGTAAAAGAGGATTTGTTCTAATTTGAAATGCTGCTGTTTTTGCTTACTTTGTCCAAGACTTCCTGTCTGCAGATCATTCTTCATCCAAAACAAACTCTTTTTCTTCTAGTCACTGTTTTGCAACTTATCATTACTTCACATGCCGCAATGACAAATGAACACAAGCCCCACCATTATCCATAGAGTTTGACAGGTTTCAGGAAAAGAGCATAAAAATGAACTACAAAATTAACATTTATAAATCAATCAACATGTTAATGTTGTTTTATTTACGAGCTGTTACACCTTGAGTGAATGATTGCGAAAGTGACCCTATTTTTAAACAGCATTGATCTGTTGAAGGCCTCCTTTGCACACATTTTAACTCAAAGTCATTAATGTCATCTGTTAGGAACAATTAATGTGAATAGAAAATAATTGCATTGGGGAACTAGGGACTCAGAGGATTTTGTACATTAATATTCACATGCTGTTCGATCATATACACAATTCTTTTTTCAGTTTTGCTTGGAAGGATGGCTAAGCTTGTGCCTTTTCATCCATGTTCACCTGTATACTAATTATTAAGGCTTTCAGTGTGCATTAAGCCTGTTTCGTTTTAATTGCAGTTTCAATAAAATCCATGATTTATGTGAATGCCTTGGCCGATGACTTCAAAAGAAATATCTGCAGTCTTGTCAGTCATTGGACCAACATAGCATGTAACAGGCAGTATGGATCTGACTCACAGTCCATTGAAATCAATGAAAAAGGGCTTAAGAAAAAAAAACAAAAACCAAAACAAAAGGACTTGGGATCAGGCTGTTTTCATTTTCCCATTAATTCTCCAGGCCTGCAACCTGTGAGACCACATCTACCCTGCCCTCAGCACCGGGGCGCCCAGCTTAGAGGAACAAATAGTGCAGTCCCTGCCAGGGCGCTTTGCCAGGGGAACCCTGTGAAGGATGCAAACCATGGAGACTCGTCAAGGCTGCATGAGTGGCCCCATCACCCCGTCCATCCAAAAAGCCTGGTCAAAGAGGAAAAAAGAATCTGTAGCCACAAAAGCCCTTCCACACTAGTAGCAACAGCAAGACAGTTCTTTGCAGGGCCCTGAAACATCAGTCACTCACTATCTTATGCCCAGCTACTCCCCAGACCGCGCTCTTGGTACTCACTGCAGAAATTCATCTGCTAGGGAACAAAGCAGGTGGCCATTCCTACAGCCTCTGTTATCTGCATGCTGTGCTTCAGGTATCTATTCCAGACAATCTAGCAATTTTTAAAAAAAGCTACTAATTATAAATTTGGGAGTAATTTCTTAAGAGTTACATATTCATCCACGTTTCTTCAGGAGGTACTATCTGTTGCAGACAGATTATGGAAAATATTTTCAACGATCAATTTTCTGTATAAACAAATTTTGTCCAATATATTGTTGAATAGATTAAAATGCTACAAACACTCAATATTCAAGCTATTTTTCATTAAAAATATTAACTACATCCAGGCTACGTGTTTTTTAACATCAGCGATGCCTATTGCCTAGTTATTCAGCGTGCACCTTTTAAAGTGTTATTACTAGAGTTACTGTCAGGTGTTTATTCAAGATTTAAGTTCCAGGTAAAAATGCCTTCCCAAAGTCACAGATTTACTGATTTAGGATTATTCTTGACAATAATTCCAACTGCATTGTTGAACTACCAGAGAATTCCACTATTTTCAGAACCCAGAGTCACCAATGTTATGAACAAGTGGTGTATTTGCTCTTTGCAGAGGAATTAATTACTTTCTCCAGTGGAACCAGTCATCTGATTTTTGCTTTCAGAGATATTTTAGCAGGAGTTACTACAGCCAGATCTGTGCATTAGAGACAATGACTGGGGACATCTGAGATGGATGAACATTTATACTTGAACATTTATTTTCCCAGAAAAAAGTACAGTTGTAAAACTGTCTTCCCATTTTTCCAGCAAGGCATTTTAAACACTTCATTACTTAAATGGGAACATATATGCATCTCAATAAGGGAAATGAAATATACCGCTATAATGTCACCCAATGGAATTTAGTGTGCTGCTGTTATTGTCCATATCAGACACAATAGCAGAGATCAGCCCAGTTGGAACAGGAAGAAACCAGAAACAATTTTTGGCCAGTGGTAAGATGTAGTCCAGCAGAGCACGCTGTAAACGGCTCAGAGTTACGGGGGTCCCTCCACACCGGTTCAGTGACCTGAAGGGCTGGGCTGCACTTGGGTCATGCTGTGTTTGAATCATGTGCATCAGTGTTAAACTCTATAAAACTATAATAACAAAAGTGAACCAGCAGACTAAAATGATTAACAAAGAAGGAAAGCATGTTCTCAAGATGCATAATGTGATTATATTTCTGTATCAAACAAGAGATCATCACATTGGGAATACTCCTCCCCACACATATGCAAATAAACTAACAGACACACAGCCAGCACAATGACTAGCATTAACAAACAGCATAACAAAGTTTGAGATCATTAATTAAATATAGTCACGCAGCACTGAAGCAAGTCATCCAATTACAAAAGAAAAATGATAAGAAAATTGTTTTTCTTTCACTTATTTTTTCTTTTTCCTTCTCCACTTTCTAATTAAAAAATGGCAAAAACTCTATTTGTTAAAAAACCTCATTAATGATGGACTTAAAATGAAGTAACGGATTGTGCTAAGTATGTATCTTGATTCTGATTTCTTCTCAGATATGCAAAATGTACTGTGTCCTTTATGGTTATTTTCAGATGACACTCACAAAACTAGATCAAGGAGTTACTGCTGCCCTGAAAATTGTACAATACTAAAATCACTGTTGATGCTATCATGATGCAATGCAACAAAAGGTAGACCACAGCACAGAGTGACTTCCACAGAAAAGATCACATCAGTTTACATGCATACTTAAAAGATGAAACTGAGGAGTTACAATTATAAATCCAAGTCACTTGCCCCATTTGTTGGTGCCCTCTATACTGCTAAAGAGAAACTGGGCAATATTTGTACATGGAGGGGAACGTCTGGGCCCCTCTGAACACACGAAACCACCAGGAGCACTGGATTGCAGGACAGAAAACCCTTATGGAAGTGAGGACAGCATGGGCTGGGCCAGCTTGCTTGGAAATTACCCTGTACTGAGTACTGCCGGGGCACGTGCGGACTAAAAAGTTCATAGCATCTTAGCTAGACTGGACCTATGTCTCTATAGAAAGTGGGTGCTGAGAGGTAGAGAGGCCAGGGCAGAGCAGAAAGGGCCTCTCTGTGGCTGCTGGTGACCAGTAGCAGAAAAACTCCTCCTTCAACTGTGAGACTGATGCAGAAAAGGCCGTGCTCTTTGTGGCTCAATGTCAAGATTAACTCCTGTAACCCACATAAAAAATAAAAACAAAGTAATTGATAATTGAGGTGGAAAACTATTGTATCAAGTGCAATAGGAAATACAATTATCTGGCAGGCAGATAACCAATGCATCAAACAGCAGGCCAGATCCCCCTTTCTCCAGCAGCATCCTTATTAAGGCTTTCTAGGAAGATAAAAGAAGGCTACTACCTGCTGGCATGAGGCAATATTACAGAGACTCCCCTAACTATTGTGCCTCTTGACTGTGTCTCTGCAGAATATCTATCAGTTCCCATCTCCCTTTTGAAACGCCTAATGGCCCGCAGCATTGCAAGAACAATTTTCAATGAATTATGCCAAACTGTACATGGCTTTCCAATATTGGATGAGTTAATTGCTATTAAATCAATGGGCTTTGCTTTTCTCACATGAGCCAAAGTCCATCATTCACAAGAAAGAAATTCTCTCTCTAGGTTCTAAGGAGACATTTTCATCCTGGTGCTCCGTGCCAGAGCTGTAGATGTTTGTTTGGTCTGCGTGGCCCCCTCCCACCTTTGCTGTTATCTGGGGCATTGCAAAGCTGAACAGGCATACTCTGGACTGTTCTCCTACACAACCTGACCATTGTAATTGGACTGGCAGGGAATATCTTTTCTGCAGCCTTCACACAACTAATTTTTAATAATTCTCTGCACAAATAAGATACCCCTCAAGTCTGCAATCCGCTACACCACCGCTCCAGTTCTATCCTTGTTGTACTAAATGAGTTCAGTCTTAGTAACTTCACCAAAAATGTGCAACACAAGGAGTGCTGATATGGTGACCTCTTTATAGGCGTCATAGAGGCTCATGAAAGACGAGAGCTCTTTCTAGCTGCTTTTTATCACAATCATCTGACCTGTCTCACTGTGCTGGTTTTGGCTGGGGTAGAGTTAATTTTCTTCATAGTAGCTGGTGTGGGGCTATGTTTTGAGTTACTGCTGCAAACAGTGTTGATAACTCAGGGCTGTTTTCGTTACTGCTGAGCAGGGCTTATACAGAGTCCAGGTCTTCTCTGTTCCTCACCCCACCCCACCAGCGAGGAGGCTGGGGGTGCACAAGGACTTGGGAGGGGGCACAGCCGGGACAGCTGACCCCAACTGACCCAAGGGATATTCCATACCGCATGATGTCATGCTCAGCATATAAAGCTGGGGGAAGAAGAAGGAGGTGGGGGGATGTTTGGAGTGATGGCGTTGGTCTTCCCAAGTAACCGTTACGTGTGATGGAGCCCTGCTTTCCTGGAGATGGCTGAACACCTGCCTGCCCATGGGAAGTAGTGAATTAATTCCTTGTTTTGCTTTGCTTGCGTGCGCAGCTTTTGCTTTACCTATTAAACTGTCTTTATCCCAACCCATGCGTTTTCTCACTTTTACTCTTCTAATTCCTTCCCTCATCCCACTGGGGGGCAGTGAGCAAGTGCCTGTGTGGGGCTTAGTTGCTGGCTGGGGTTAAACCATGACACTCACTTTCCTGTTCCCTTGTTCATCTTAACTGT